CGCTATTATCCTTTCCGGAAGGAACGCGTTCATCACTACACCATGCGGGTCCTTCGTTTCGCCTGTCTCTCAGCTAGTTCTGTCGAAAAGCTATCAAGAAGTTTGAACTCCACTATCTGTCCTTTATCAAAACTTATGACCGGGAGAAGAGGTACCTCTTAGTTTTAGAATAATTAAAATGCGTGCGATGAAAAACTCAATTTGAAGGATGCGAGAATTAAAAGAAAGCTATTTATTCATGCAGATCCAGTTCATTACATCCTCAAATCAACTACTCAGAAGAATCGCTACTTATCTGACAAAATTCCAAATGCAAAACATTAGACGTCAGTCTTTTCCGGTAAAGTCAGTTGAATTGCTATCCTGAGTTTCTAGGGAATTTCACAGGAGATCAATTTTTAGAGCGGTTGAATATGACAGATACTTAAGCCACAGCCAAGCTATTCCGGAAGTCAGCAGTAAGTAAGTAGGTACACGTGAGCTAAAGCACATCCATAGATGGAAAGTATTAAGACGACAAAACGAATGAAGTGGTAGAGTAATGCTCTATATGTGAGGAGAGGTCATATGAACGAGTAGATAGGTAGCCTCAAACTATTTTGACTGACAAACCTTGATTATTGAACGATGGAAATTCTATTACACAACTGCACTGAATAGGATTTCTAGATCCATAATCTGTTCTAAGGGCGATCATTGTCCCATGGCGGCCCAAAATAGGTCAGAACGTCCGTTTATGGACTGTCGTCGTTGCATCATTGATGAAACCTTTATCTACTAAAACCTGCTATTTATTAATTAGATAGGGAAAGTTTTATAACTCTTTACTCTTCCAACTCGTTTTAGCCTTTTTCAAAAAGGTCGTTCTTACAACCAAGAACACATGGGAAGATGAAATATCGCTATCGATCGTGATTGATTGTCTTCCGTAACGTTATTATCAGCACAGCCTCTTTGAACACGTTGAGCAAGGCTTTCCTAAAAAGTTTAAACATTATCTTTTTTCGGTGCTATTTGTTCTCCGTTTAGTACGTTGGACCACATCCACACGATAACAAGGCTCATTGAACAACCTCGAGGCTACAAAAGACCACTCTGTCACAGTTTCATCGATTTACAGAAAGCCTTTGATTGAATTGAGATAGAAGAAGTCACGCAAGCCCTTGATAGTCAAGGAGTCCCTACTCAGTACATAAAAAATTTTCGTGAGCTGTACAGAAATTTCACCACCAAGATATCACCATTCTATAACGTTATTAAAACACTGACGTCAAAACAGGAGTTAGACGAGGCCATACCATATTGCCAAAATTATTTACCGGCACCCTCCAGAACGTCATGCGAACATTGGGATAGGATAATGTGGGAGTGAAAATTGATGGTCGACAGTTACATCATCTTCGCTTTGCTGATGACATCGTCCTTATAACGCTAAACATTAGCTAAGCGGAACGTATGCTTGCCAACTTTGATAAAGCTTGTGAAAAGATTGGTCTCCGAGTAAATCTCACGAAAACGATGTTCACGACGAACGGATTGGTTTCGTCTGCCCCATTCACGCTCAACAGAACGAATATCTCCGAATGTTCCAGTTATGTCTATCTAGTTCAGGAAATCAATATGATGAACGATTTAGCTCCAGAGCTGAGCTAAAGGAAACGAGCGGCTTGGAGAGCTTTGAACAGCATCGAGGAAGTAGTGAAGAGGATAATGAACACCGGACTCCGTGCCCACCTTTTCGACTCAACGGTACTTCCTGCCCTAATGTTTGCGTCAGAAACCTGGTCGCTGCGTAATCAGGATGAAAGGTCACTCAGTGTTATTGAACGTGCAGTCGAAAGGGCGATGCTAGGAGTATCCCGTTTCACACAAGTGAAGGAAGGGATAAGAAACTCCGATCTACGTCAACGATCAAAAACTAAAGATGCCGTTCTGTACGCCAAACGGTCGAACATAAGGTGGGCCAGACACGTAATGCGTATGAATGACAGCCGATGGACAAGAGCTGTTAGTTACTGGATTTCTCGGGTTGTCAAACGTACTTCAGGGAGACCACGATCCGATGGTCAGAGTTTTTCGCAAAGAGCCTTAAAAGAAGATGTGATGCTCAACGAGTCTCTTGAGCAAGCAAAACCCACTGGACTACTCTTGCACGCGACAGGGAAAAATGGAAGATTTACTGGCGCCCGCTCGAGTCACTCGACGATCAACGAAACTACAGGTGATACAGGAAGAGGTGAAAAGGTGAAAATCGTGTCCAATAGTACTGTGGCCGTTGCTATGCGAGCGGTTCAATTCTTCGTTGATCATTGGTCGCATTCTCATTCGGCGCCTATTTCTCTTCAGCAATTCTTCACTCGGGCCTCTTTTACTCTACCACTACTATCTCTCTAAACTGTTATCACTATTTCCACTCTTTTTTTGTTTGATAGCAATTAGTGTTGAAGCATCCACTTCATCTCTTGCCATTTGTCTTATCACATGTTTTTCCACGGTGAGAAAGCAATTGTGAATAAGAAGAGCCTGGTAGATTTCATATCGAAACCTTTTTTGGAAAAAATGCCAAATCTCAACGGCTTTTCATTCGTTGGAATTGTTCTAAAGTTGCTACACTTAAAGCCTGTGCTCGTTTTAGAATTCTTAGACGTATGTTGAAATAGAAGCTAATAAATGTAATTTATGCTGCTAAAGCACTTATTGCGTGGTGCAGTGGTTGGAGGCGCCATTGCGGCGGACATGCGGAGTCCAACCCCGCGCCCATGGGCTCCCAAGCCTTCCATCCCTCCGGGATCGGCACATTGGTACCAGACTTGTCTGGGAGGATAGCAGCACTGGCTCGATAATCGGTAGGCCACCGCGAGTTATTGTAAAGGCCAGATATGCATTCAATCACTTCCAAACGGTGCTTAATGAAGTCTAATGCATGGCGCATCGCTAAGGGATTGATTAACCGCCAAGGGGCTTATCTCGCTTTATTACTGAAAATTACTATTTTAGCGGCGTTTAGGAGGTATTTTTACCGCCGTTCATAGCAGTATCGCTTTAAAAACTACGCAGTAGAAGTTTAAATGGATCATTCAGGTGCAAAAACCTATTCGGTAGAAGAGTCGAGCAAGCTTTTAGTGGTGAACTTCTCTTAAAGGACAGTGGGAAGCTTTATCCTTTATTTGTTCTTTATTTCCTTAGTGCTTTACACTCCTTTGAAACCACAACTCCTCGAAACCCTCCACTTATTGAAACTAATTAATTTGACAAAGACTTTAGAGAAAGGTATGTCTGCTCTTTCCAGAGATTGTCTCTCTCTAACAGTTTAGGACGCAATTCATGCCAAAAAAAATTGTCTAAGTTACAATGACAAGATTTTCCCTCAAAATTAAAACAAAACGAAAAAAAAAGAGATTGTTGACACAGTCACGACAATGCGCGTTAATTTCAGTGCGCACGTGGTCGCAAATATTTCAGCTGTTCAATTTTAACCAAGTATCTCATCTCAAAGTGCATCTTATCATCGTGAATAAAAACCGAATTTGGAGAATTCGATTACAGTTTCAGTTTAGCTGAGTTCACTGCCGATTTGTGCTCCCTAGATCAGCCCCGTTGCCACGGAATTGCTGATGACAGCATTAGGTAGAAAAGCGACTGAGAGAAAAACAAAGCAAGGGTAACATTAATGCAATGTGTAACATGCGATTCCCCTGAAAAGGTGATCGCGGTCCTATAGAGCTCGGCGTCAAAGTTTTGGAACTAACCCTGCCTCATTGTGGTTGTATTTCAAATCGAACCTCTCCTGAAAAATAATAATAGGCAGTAAAGAGAAAAATTGACATTGAATCGAACCTGCTCGAATCCGAAAATTTTTACCCACAAGGCAATATCCTTCTTATCTTATCATGATGAGAGTTTCATTTTTTGGAATCTGGAGCCTCAAAGAGTCTTTTTCAATTTTTCTTGCTTTAGAGATCGTATTTCAAAGGACAACGCCATTGAACAAAAAGAATTCCGTGTACATCGTTGATGTTTGCGACTGGCATTTAGACACGTTTTTTGTTCTTTTTCTTAACATTTGGACAATTTAATAAATAAAGAGGCACTTGTCTTTAAAATCTTTTGCGACAGTTGTGTTTTACCTTCATCTTTGTCGCGGTACAGTCTTCCCAGTAAGACCGTCAACCTTCTAAATTCTCAGTTTATCTATTTATAGAAAAGTTACTGACAATTGGATCGTTTTTCCTCAAATGTTTTAAAAATCGGTAAATTATCGCAAAGTGAAAAGTGCTATTTATTGCGTTTAGAAAATTCAAAAATGGAACAAGAAGAAAAGAATATCCACTCTGAGAGACTTCACTAGGAGATTCTACCAGAGATTCAGGTGAACAAGGCTTCGAATTAGTCATGAAAACGAAATAAAGGAATGAGAAAGCAAAGAAAAGTTGGGAAGGGAAAAGAGGTAGAAGTCAGCCGAATGGCTTTTCTCATCCATCGGCCGGATGAATCGCTTGTTGACTCACGTCCAGATCGGCTGTCGATCCTTCATAACACCCATTGTCATTCCACTTTGCGGTTCGAATATGATGGTAAGGAGGATACGGTACAGTGAATAAAGTAGCCCTTCATCTTTACAAAAGGGTTAAGGGGTTTTATAAGAAACGATTTTACAGTATCGTCCATTTGCCGAATTACTTCTAAAACAGATTGAATTCAGGAAATACGCTAATATTAAGCAGTTGTTCAGTTTAAGTTGAAAGAAAACTTCGTGTATCGAATCTCAAATTTTCACTGAATAAGTGGAGAAATAAACATCGATTACGATTTCACGGTAACCAATTGGCGAATTGGTTGGAAAGAGGAAGAATATTTTGTATAAAAACCATAATATCACGGAATCGTTCACGGTGAAGTTAGTGACTTATCCAAAGTTGTCAAACCTTTATAGGAGTTTTCTTTGTTGTTTTATGTTCGAGTCTACTTAAAATGGCGTTTTAACAATTTTTTCCTCCCTATTACTGAATAATTCCGAATCTCTCACTACCATCAATGTGCTTCGACAAGCCACTGAGTGGTTTCGAACGAAGATTGATGAAGTCGGGAATACGAATTTGACTGTTTGTGAGGTATATATGTGCCGTTTCATGGTGAGCAATAGTCAAACCATCACGAAGTATCCAATGGATTCCAGAATATCCAGTTTTCTTCACAGCAACGAATGTACCGTGTTTGCCTTCAATACCGTTCACTACCTACAATAATGTAGTTATCAATCCAGTCGGATGGTGTATAAGACAACGGACCTATCGACAAGTGTTTTCTAAGAATAACAAACACCATTTCAGCACCATCGGTCTAAACTTTTGATCAAATGCATAACTGCAAAGGCTCAGCACTTTCAAGGATAGGAAGGCCTACTATGATTACTTTTTTCTACTTTTCTACTTTTTATCTGTTTTTCTATCTGTTTCTATTCTATCTATTTTCTTTCTATTTTCCTACGACCATTCTCCCATCAACATCGACAACTCACAACGAAAATGTAAAAAGGCTCGCAATATAAAAGGCTTTGATCATGTAGTGCAGGAAGAATGCAAACAGAAGTGAAAGAACGAAATAAAAAGAGAAGTTGGACTCTTGTGATCATCAAGAGTTTGTTTGATTTGTCATGATTTCAAGCGGAAAAATCGATTCTGGTTAAAGTGACGTCGCTCATAATCTCATTGTACCGTTCAGGCGCTAGACCTTCTCAGTTATGCATGCGTGTTTTAACATGTGTATGTAAATCTGTGCGTATATGTATTTATATATATATATCTGCATCTATATATATGTATCTATATATATATATCTGCATATAGATATATATCTGCGTGTGTGTGTATCTGTAAATCTGTCCGAAACACGCATCTCTCAAGAGCCTCATGCCGTCACACAATCATCCCACCACCCCCAGCCAACGTTAGAGAACAAACAAAAGAAAAACCTTCGCAAATGCCTCATTGCGCTTCCATCATCAGGGAAATGAAGAAAATCACGTCAAATCTTTTCGCTGAACTACCCATAGCTATCGCTATCATATCAATTTTTCGCATTTGGAGAAATTCAACTAAATAACAGAACAGTTTAGAACGTTTCTCGGTCGGTCCCTTTTCATATGTGAACTAGTTTATAATATATACTTGTATGTCGAAGTAGTTAGAGGTGACATGCAATTGACACCGAGTCGATCACCAGTTCGATCCTGGATCCGAACCTCACCATGCCTTTCATTCCTTCGTTTTCAACAGTTTGGTTCCAGACTTATATGGCTGAATAGTAGCATTTGCTCAATATAATAGTAGACCAGCCAAAGACGTTGTGTAAGTCAGAAATGAATTCCTTGACTTCTATCCATGCTTGATGAAGTGGAATGCGAGACGCATCCTTCAGGAATTGATCGACGTCTGTCTTTCTATCCTTTTTTATTTAAACCTGTTCATTCCCCGAACACGACTTTATAACGAAACAAAAGCTAAACACTTCCACCAGAAAGTGTGGTCGAGAATAAATCCATGCAAACCTTCTTTCCAACTATTTCCAACTACAGAGACTGCCTGCGGTGATGAGCAGCGAACGCCGTGAAACAGATTCTTCGAATTCAGGCCGTGTCTTCGAATTCTAATCAGAAAATAAATCCTGTCTGGTTCAAAAATGTCTGCTAGATAGAATATATAATAAAGTTAACTCGGTTTTGTTGTGAATGAAGCCATTCAACTGTCAACTATGGTTTTTAATTTGGCTTGCGCGATTCGATTACCTGAATGACCGCGGCCGTGTCCTCATTGATGAACACCAGTAACATCGTTTTCAAACAAAAATCTAAATGCAAACATAAAACGGACAGCACTTTGTTATTTAGAAATAACTTTTTATGTTTTTCCTTTCTATTCCTTTTTTTGTACACTCCGTATTTTATCCCAGTATTGATCCCGAAAGTGAGGTAGTGGAAATATTGACAATTGATATATCGAAAACAGTATGTGCAACTTTCCGATAGTGAAAACGAAAGAGGAGATTTGAAAGTATCGGTGCCATAACAATTTACAGATAGACAGCAACTATTCACATGACTTTTTAAAATGATATTTTAAAAAGTTTGCTTTCTTCAACAAAGACTTTTTCTCTTCACATGCAAATCACGTCCTTCTTCACTTCGCTCGTGACTTCCGCAAGAGGTAGCAAACGATGAGAACAATTTTTTTATACGATTCGTCTTCACATCTACTGCCTTTATCAGGGCATTTCTGACATTCTTTTCGTTTCCTCGTGTCCCTCATTCACGAAGATGTTCAAAGTTTTCGTGTTTCGTTTCGGCTTCTGCTTAATAATTTTCCTTTCGTCACGAAAGCTGCAAAATACTTTTTACGTCGATTCTCCTTGGAGCCCAGGGATAGCCGGTCTAGAGCGTTCCCATTTAGATTGTGGAGACTGAAGTGTTCGGAGGCAAGTCTACTGCGATTTCTATTTGTCGAGTCTGCCAGTATACTTCTCGACCTCAGAAGGATGATGGATTAGGTGACATCAGGATGGAGACGAACAAGTAACGTGTTCGTGATGCACGGCATCACTACCACTGCTTACGCTACCCACCGTTGAGATATGAAGTGGATATTGATAGTGTCACAACAAGGGATTACTTTATAGACATCGAAATGACTATAACGGGATCACTAATGGAAGTGGTATGAACAGAATACTAGAACAATTTTTTAGAGGTGGTGGTAATCGTTTCCATTTTGCAATTTTGTTGCCCGATCGATATGTAGTGATAGCCGGGATGCCTCATAAAAGAAGCAGGTCGCATCGATGGCTGTGGAAATCATTGTCGTCTCTGGTTATCTAATATGCATTCTTTCATGATAAGCTTGCACGAGGTTGATAAATATATTTATTTTCGGCTAACGTTTCGACGTCTTCGTCTTCCTCAGAGCCGATGATCCGAGTCGATGGTCCATGATTGTGTATAAAAGGGCATCACTGAGTGAGGATGCCTCATTCGAGAAGATCACTGAGGAAGACCTGGCTCGACACGAAGGCGAAGCTACAACGTCGAGACGAACAACAATCATGGACCATCGACTCGGATCATCGGCTCTGAGGAAGACGAAGACGTTGAAACGTTAGCCGAAAATAAATATATTTATCAACCTCATGCAAGCTTATCAAGAAAGAATGCATATTGATTAGTCACACCGAAGTTCAGGGAAAGTCGGTTTCGAAATATTACTACGCTTTGTGCTATCTGGTTATTTAGTTTATCCATTTAACGCCTGAGTTTTATAATGCTACGATTTTCTGAAAGTTAGGCGGATAATCTCACCCTTTTTTTTCACTGCCTATTCTTTTTAACGGCAGGATATTTTTGCGAAACATAACTATTATAATGCTGAGATACTGCAAAAGATCGTTAGAACTAGCTGAGAGACAGGCGAAACGAAGGACCCGAATGGCGTGGTGGTGAACGCGTTAATCGCCGAAAAGGGCAGTAGCACGTTCGTTCCCCACCGCATACACCTGCTGTCCGGAGTTTTGTAAATATCTCAGCATTATAATAGTTAGGCGGATACTTTGTAAAAGGCACCTGTGGTGCCGTTTCTCGTTAAGTGATTCTTAGTGCGCAACAAAAGAACTTGCTCAAAGAATGCCTACTTGACAATTTTCTTTTCGGCAGGAAAGTCGTCGGATAGAGTTCGAGACCATTCTCCTGATGTCCTGGCATAGTACCATGTGGCTTCGGGTGCTGCTTGAAGATTTCGTCAACAGCAAATTATAATAAGCCGATTTCATATACATCGTGAGAGCAGATTATTCAACTATTAAAGTATCCGATATAATGTGCCAATGAATGTTTCATTTGTTTATTCCTATGATCCTCTCGAGTAATTTTATTTAAAAGCCAAAAAAATGAACATGGTCACTCATTTTGACATGCCTCGGCTTTCAGACATTTTTTTTCTTAAAACCTTTTTATTTACTGCTTACTATAAATTTTCACGGTAGGCATTATGTGAAATACAACAAAGATGATGCTGAGATATCTGCAAAGCTCCGAACCGCAGGTGTCAGCGGTGGGGAGCGAGCGCGCTATTGTCCTTCCCGGGGAGTAACGAGTTCACTACTACACCATTCCTTCATTTCATCTGTTCCTTAGCTAGTTTTCCATCCGTCTTTTTTTCGCTCATATACTTTTATTGTTATTATCCGGGTAGTCTCGTTTTTACAGGTAGACACAGGGACAGCAAAATAGTTCTTAGTCGCAGGATAAATCTTTCAACAATAAGTAGCGATTGGATCGATTGGATAAGAAGGATGACAAAATTTAGATCGGTCTTTTGCGAATCACTGACTTAGCTATACTGCAATTTTTAGTTCAATCAATGTGATTCTGATTTCTTGACACCGAAATGTTTCGACGGTTTGGCCAAAGGTCAACGATGATTCAAACTAATTTCTGTATGGAAATAAAATTGTATAGTCACGAAACCACTGCGAATAAACAACGACCGTTTCTACGTTTATATAGTTACTTACTTGATACTTAAACGGCCCGTCCTCACTGGTTGTACGGACGCCAGCATAATCATCGTTTTTCAGAAATTTGCTGGTTAAGCCATTGTGATTCTCTGGAATTTCGAGGGGTCAGCCGGGCCAAAGTCTGCTCCAGGTCTTCACTACCACAGATAGCCTCAGCCCTTGTGGATGTGGATCAGAGGAAAATTTGCCACCATGCAACCTTGATACCATGGCACTGGTGGGTTCTGGTATTGGTTTACTCTTAGCTAGGTTTCCTGATGGAAACGCCGGACCCCTTCTTAGCTTGGGAGACCCTGCCACGTGATGAATCCTCTGGTGTAGATCGCAGTCTGACACCTAGGAACACCTCTCAGCCACGAGGAGGCGGTAAACCGTTAGGAGGGTTTTGTAAGTTAGGCAATATTATTAGTAAAAAAAATTAGCAGTAGGTAGACACTTCGCATTCATTGCACGTGAGTAGGACCTGTGCATAATCTGTATAAAGCTCTTGCTCTACGCTTGGATACATCATGAACATTCGTACGATTTATTCATTTTTACCTAGGCAGTTTCATTTTATACTACCATTGTTACGTTTCTGATGTACTTCGACGAAAAACTTTGTTTTTTCAACTTCTTGGATTCACACAACGTGTCGTATTACCTTACTGACATTACATATAGGTCGAAAGCAGCTAATTTGAAAATACGAAGCACATTCGACATTGGTCTGTAAAGATCTAAGGAAAATGTTTTCGTAGCGAATCAGATATTGTTCGATCCTACGGGTTTCCATAGGTCAGCGGATCACGCAAAAAGGGTCCATATAAATAATTCCATTTATTTGGTACGAAAAGTCCTACTCTACGATCAAAAAGGGTCTGCATAGTGTGGTAGTGAACGCGTTACTCTCCGGAAAGGAAATTGCGCGTTCGTTTCCCACCGCATACACCTGCGGTCTGGAGTTTTGCAAATATCTCAGCATCATTGACAGTAAATAATAATATTTCGAAACCGACTTTCCCTGAACGTCGGTATCACTAATAAATATGTATTCTTTCTTTGATGAGCTTACACGAGGTTGATAATGATGTTTATTTTCGGCTAACGTTTCGACGTCTTCGTCTTCCTCAGAGCCGATGATCCGAGTCGATGGTCCTCGCTTGTTATTCGCCTCGACGTGGCAGCTTCGCCTTCGACACGAAAGCCGAAAATAAACATCATTATCAACCTCGTGTAAGCTCATCAAAGAAAGAATACATAGTAAATAATAAGTCAAAACTCTGCGTTAATTCTTTCTACTTTTGTTCAGCAAATACGAGGTGTTACTTAATTTCTTTATTTACATACAAGCTGACGTTTCGGTGGATTTCGCCTTCTTCAGAGCCTGGAAAGGTCAAGTTGACTATAATCTACGTCGCCAAACACGCTAATAACCAAACAGAGAAAATGCTGAATCAAAATTTCAACCACATTGAACACAGTCTTTGCGCACTCACCGCTTTCTATGAGTCTTCCACTAAAGCAGCATGCGTACACGCAGCAGCAGTTTTGGTTCAGTATTTTCTCTGTTTGGTTATGGGGGTGTTTGGCTGTGTAGATTGTAGTCAACTTGACCTTTCCAGACTCTGGGAAAGGCGAAATCAGCCGAAACGTCAGCTTCTACGTAAATAAAGAAATTAAGTAACACCTCATGTTTGCTGAACAGTAGTAGAAAGAATTATTCAATGAATGCCGAGGTTAATGGAAAGTCGGACATGGGAGTTACTTTGTGTTAAGTTTGTCTGCTGAAGTTAGGAAAGTGTTTGGCTGCGTAGATTACGTGTCAATTTGACCTTTCGAGGTTCTGAAAATGGAACGAGAAAAGGAAAAGAAAAAAAACCCTCGAAATGTCAGCTATTCTGAATTAGTAGTTGTTGCAATATCAACCTCACGTTTGCTCATCACGAAAGAATACTTTGTATTAATGCACCTTCGTACTTATCCCATTGGTAGTGGAGTGTAGCGCAGTGGTCAGAGGGCCTTAAAACACACACATGAGGACGATCCTTGCATCCCTGACGCACCAAGCCTTCCATGTTTTGGAGTCGGCAAATTGGTGCCAGACTTGTCTGGGGGCATAGCAACACTGGCTCGATACATCGGTAGGCCATAGCCAGTCATTGTGAAGGCCAATTAATGTGCATTCAGTCACCTCTGAGCGATGCTTAGTGAAGCCGAATGCATGGCGTATCCTTCTGGGTTGATCATCGCTTAGAGCTTGATTCCTCTTATTTTTTCGTCTTATTG